CCACTGTTTATCTGGGTGACTCTGGCTAAGTCAGTTTGTCTTTTTAAGCACCCAGCTCCCAGCTAAGATTATAAGACTGATCTCACTCAGAACTGTTGTGGACCTAAATATGGGAATGTATATGGAGAGCTGAGTGCGGTCAGTGCTGTAAACAGTACTTAGGCACTGCCAGTTCCCTTTCTGCTCAGATTTTTTTCTTCCTTAGTCTTCTATTCCTCTGCCAGATTTTGGGAAAATTTCCTTTGGGCTATCTGTCCTTCCCACTGGTTCATCAGTGAGTCTGCCCTTAATCTCAGTACTGGATGTCTCTGGTGTATCCTTAAAAATCATATTTTCAGTTAGAACTTTTACTTACGTGATAACTCAAATGTATGCAAAACCGCTCTCATGAAGGATTTCTCTGTAATATCTGCTTACATCTAAAACAGTGGTTATTTTACGGTGGGTGTCATTGTCACAATCTTCTTGATGAACATTCTTTTTTTGTAGGATATCATGAAATAGTGGCATATTTAATTCTATGACATAGTTCAAGAAGAATTTGCTTAACTGAAAGCTACTGTATAATTGGAACATGAAGTTGGTTTTATAGGAGGCGGGGTGGGGGAGAGGATGTGTGGACAGATTTCCCATAAGTATGTTTACATGCAGGGATTTCAACAAGTTTGTTGGAAATTAAATTTTATTTATTTTTGCTGAATGTTGACCATTAACTAATTTTTTCTATGGTGTTGGTTCATACTCTTTCCATTCCGAGTTTGTATTTAAACCAAGGCATATGGATTCTCCTTTTAAATGTTCTGGAATGCCTACTATCATCTTTTTCTACATTCTACTTTTATAATACACTGTCTCCTGGCCTGCTGGGAGCAACTCTGTACACTGTCTACCTGCAGTGTCTTACTTCCTCTCCGCTAAGCTTGTTTGCCCCACTGCTGTTGGAGAAATTGCCCAGAAATCAAAAATCTGAATAACTCAAACTGTCTGCAAACTCTGTAGTTGTCCCCCATGACCCATAGGATTAAGCCGCAGTGATGCATTGATTTTTGTGTTGGGCTGATAACTGCAAGGTCAGTTGTTCGAAACCACCAGCTGCTCCATGAGAGAAAGATGAGGCGTTCTCCTGTAAAGAACTACCTTCTGGGAAACATGCAGAGGCAGTTCTGCTTTACCTTTAGGTTCACTGTAAGTCAGAATTGACTCGATGGTAGTGAGTTGTTTTGAGAACATGGTGTACAAGGCTCTGGGTGATGGCTTCCTCGTTTCTTGCCTTTTCCTATCTGATCCTCAGACTTCTGCCATGTTGAATAACTTAAATGAAGTTCTTATAAGAGTGCCAACTTTATTCATATCCATAAGGTTGCAT